CCAGGCCAGCTGGCAAACCTCCGAGCTCACCGAAGTCATTCCCAGTTCTAGAGAGCACACCAGACTTTTAAAAAGGTCTTCAGGAAGCTGTGGTATTTTTTCAGGAAAAAATCTCACAAATAAATGTAATTAACTTGTAATATTGATTACAGAGTGTTGGAAACTTCAAAAGATCTTGTGACATCATGGGCAGAATTCGGTTGACTCCATATAAAACAACATCCGCTGCTGACACAGACCTGCTTGCCCCGGCTCTAGTCCCCTTAACACTTCATCTGTATCACTGAAGTCTGTGAACTCTTTTGACAGAAGGTTTGTAAGAAGTTCCATAATCAGAAGTAGGTCCTGATATTGTTCCTCCTCCGCTGTGACATCCACTCTCTGCCGCCCCAAATTATTGTTAGAATATACTTGCAACAAAGTGAGACAGGCTTCATATAAGTTCTTCTCTTTGGACTCTCCAAGATAACATATCTGTTTACGTGCAACTTCAACAAAAACTTCCATTGTGAGATTGACAGTCTCGGGGGTATGTTTGAAAACTTCCATCAATCCAATGCAATTGGTGAGGAAGTCCATTAAGCAATTAAAAAGGATCGCGACATTGTCAATGTGGGTAGCCTCGGCAAGGCCGCATCGGGCCTCTAGCGCGGCAGAGATTTCCTGCTTGACCTCCTCTTGCTGGCACATCTGCTGGAAGTTTTCCCAATTTATCACCCATAAGAATCGCTGCTGCAATGGCTGAAGAACCTCAGTCCAATACTGTTGTTTGGTTTCTGTGTCCATCTGTGCAAAACCTCCCAGGACCAGGGCCTTCATCAGCGTCCTCTGCACCAGACTGGACAGAAAATTCAGAGGAGGGCTTCGGGTGGCAAACTGTTGAGCTAAATTCCACCAGTTTTCGCACTGGATTACTAGGTTTGCCCTTTCTCTTCTTTCCACCAAAGTGACAAGGAGCTGCACCGTGTCACTTGCAAGGCCCTGCTCACTATTCCACATGGATGTTTGGAGTTGTTGCTGATGACTTTCTGTAAGAGGCAGCCAATATTCCACTGGGAACCCCCAGTATCTGCTCCAAATGCTGTACTGAATGGTAGGCTTATCTGATCATATAGCTTCTCATCCACCAGGAGATAAGTCTTTGCCCAGCGTTTTAGAAACCAAACAATATCTTTGCCCATTTGAAGGCTTAGCAGCTCAGTGAGATCTGCTCTTATTGCTCGAGACTCAACTTCCAAAACTCATCTTCTTAAAGTTCACTTATTTCCTCTTCCTCACGAGAGATCACACCGTTGGCAGTCAAATTCCTTGTGCCATCTGGAGTGGCCAGGTGGCACTGAATATAGGAATTGAAGACTTGAACTGCATGCTGGGTAAAAAAGCCTTTATGGAAATGTTTGTCATCTTGGACCAAAGTCAGCCAGGACTCCAGCAACTTGTCATATGTTTCCATGCAGACCATGTCATCTTCATCAAGCACTTCTTCCAAAGCAGCACTACGCCCAAAAGAACAAGTGAGGTGTGTGAGGCAGTTCACAAAGGACGAGAAAAGCTCACTTGGAATGGCAGTTAAGATGTTTCGAGGGAACACAGTTAGCAGGTTGCTGATAATGCTGGGGATCCCCACAGGTTCAGAATCTTCTATTTCAATTCCATGGATAGTACTCAGTAAACCCTCAATGAAGTGTGCCAGGTAGTCAACCTGTGCTCCTTCATCAGGGAAGACAGGTCCCTTCAAAGAAGCTAACTGGGCGAGGCACTGCAGAGAATCTGGTGCCATATCCGAATCTTCTGATTTTTCGATGTACTGTAAAGAAAAGCTCCATGACTGCTGTCCTGAAGGACCTCCCGCCAGGACTCCGTTGGCTTTAACAGCACATTTTGTGAGGATTCAAACATGGCTATATAATGTCTGCCCAAATTTGGAGGAAGGAAGTTCCAGCTTGACCTGATTGGCGAGTGAGAGGTAGCGCTGAAACACTGAGGACATCTGAGCACTGAGGTTTTCCC